AAATACGGTTGCCAACGCAACAGCGGGGGCACCAGTTTTTGAGGGACCACAGGCACCCCGCACAACACCACACGCCATACATCAAAGCATTGAAATCTTCGCGTGGAAACTACGCGCGGGAAAACAGGAGCCCCCCTGGACTCTGAAGAGCTGAGGAGACGGGCTGGACACGATACAGCTGGACCTAGAACAGAAGAACATTTTCCAAAAACAGGAGACCCTCCGCCGGCCAAAACACACAAGACATTCGATGGTGCCCTCCCCTGGATGCACAAGAACATCCAGAAGTCACGGAGAACACTAGGACACCCTCCCCGAACCAGCCTCGATCTTATACCTCGATCTGACTGCACGGAAGGAGACAAAGAGGGACGAAGAGGAGGAGGAGGAGGAGGAGGAGGAGGAGAAGGCGGAGGAGGAGGAGGAGGAGGAGGACGAGGACGAGGAAGAAGGAGGAGGCGGACGACGAGGAGGAGGAGGAAGGGAAGAAGGACGAAGACGAGGAGAAGGAGGACGAGGACGAGAACGAGGGCGAAGAGGAGGAAGAAGAAGAAGAAGACAGAGAGAGAGAGAGAGAGGGGGACGAAGAGGACAGCACGAGGACAGCGAGGTGGAGGCGCAGCAGCAGCAGCGGGAACGCAAAGAAAAGCAGTGAAGCCACCGTGCCCAGCCCGCCGCCGACGCCACGGCAGCGGGTCCCCAGCGCGCGGCCGCCTGCGGCGGGCTCGGATTCGCCGAGGCCGTCGCCGTCCTCTGGAGGAGGAGGCCAGGAGGAGGAGAAAGGGGGGGAGGAGGGGAGCGGCACGGAGGAGAAGAAGAATGGAGGAGGGAAGGAGGAAGAAAAGGAGGAGAAGGCGGAGGAGGAGGAGGAGGAGGAGGGCGAGGAGGAGGCGAAAGGAGGAGGGCGAGGAAGAGGAGGAGGAGGAGGAAGAAGAAGAGGAGGAGGAGAAGGGAGGAAAAGAGAGGAGGAGGAGGAGGAGGAGGAAGAAGAAGAGGAGGAGGAAGAGGGGGAGGAGGAGGAGGAGGAGGAGGAGGAGGAGGAGGAGGAGGAGGAGGACGGGGGATGATCGGAAGAGGTTTCGCTGGATTTCGCTGCCCGAAACACGCACCGTGGCGACGAAACAAAGCCTCTCCTACCCCAAGCCGTGCCTGGGCGACAGGGCTCGGTTTTCACAAACCTCATGCAGCTGAACAATCAAACGCCGCGTGTCTCACGGCGGCAACGCGCTCCGCACGCCGCCGCGGGTCCTCCGGCCTCGACCCCGGTAGGGGGGTGAACCGCCGTGGGAGCTGTGAAACCCAGGGAGCGGAGAGAGGATGAGAGGGGAAGAGACGGGGAGAAGGAAGAGAGGAGGGGAGGGGCAGTCCCACAACAGCCTACCCCCCTCCCCCGGGGAGAGGCGCGACCCCTACCGCCTCCGCCGGTCCTGCGGCCCGGTCCCCGGCGCTTCTTAGTACCCCGCCGATCCCGACCAGGGAGGAGGAGGAAGGGAGGATGGCGGGGGAGGGGGAGACAGGCCGAGGTCTAGGCTGTGGCAGGGCCCCCCCTTGCGAGGTTAGTAGTCAGAGTCGTCTGACCCCACAATGGCCGAGGCAGCGACAAGCGGGGGTCGTCCTCCTCCTCCCCGCGGAAAGACGCAACGACCTGCTGCAGCTGCCTCTTGCCGCCGTCAAGCGCGATAACGGACGCGCTAACGGCAGCGGCGGCTCGTGGGAAGGCAGGGGCACCTCCCGAAGGTACAGAGACCCCTGGTAAGTCGTCCCACCCCTTCCCCGTGGCACCCGTTACAAGGATGACTCGGGCACCAATAATTCGTCCCCGCATTCCCCGGGCGACTTTCCGTGAGCCGGCACACGACGAGAAATTCCAGAAATTACATGTCTGCAGAATTCGTGAAAATCAGGACCGTCGCACGGGTTGGGGTCTCGGAATTCATCTTTCGAACACCGATGTCGCTAAATCCCGCTTTGTCCACATCTGATGCTGCGTTGTCCTCTGCCATGGAGTCCAGCTTCGCGTCAGCCGTTCCCTCCGTCGTGAGGGCACGCAATCGTTGAATCTCCTTTTCCGGTGCGGCAAGCTCCTTCTGGAACTGCTGCTGCTTGATCGTATCCGTCTGGTTCCTCCGCTCCTCGAGAATCTCCGGGCACGCAGGCGGGCTCTGCACTCCAACGCGGCCATTGAAAGCTGCTCCCTTGGCCGTACCACAGATGCTGCAGGACGGCCGATCGGCATGGTCCCACCACCGTGAGGATCCCCTGGGGTCGGTTTACAGCACAGTCAACCCGTACAATCAGGACGCACGATAAGGATGCACGGGCCTTGGAAGGCCATTTCAAGGCTGTTCGAGCGGGGCGCGACCAGCGGGAGTGGCCAAAGATGGGCCGACGGGGCAAGGATGCAAGGGTACCCTTGGGAAGGCTGCCCATCCTTATCATGCGGGCTGACTGTACCATGCTTGTGCCCCTCCGAGGCGTGCCCTCTGGTGGCCGGTCGCCCCACGGCCGGGCGGCTGAAGCTCCTCCTGGGGCTCAGAACAGGAGGCTGTAGACGGAGCCGGGGCGAAGAAGGGGCCGCCATGCGCCCGTGCAGCACTGGCCTGGAAGAAGGGCGCCAGGCGCAGGGCCTCGGCTGCCTCGGGGCAGAGGTCTCCACTGGCTGCGCAGGGCAGCAGAGCATCCTGAGCCAATATGGTCACGGTGCGGGCAGAGAAGGAGGAGGAGAGGACGGAGGAAGAGGAGGAGGAGGCGGAGGAGGAGGAGGAGAAGGACGGAGGAGGAGGAGGAGGAGGACAAGGAGGGGGAGGGGGAGGGAGGGGGAGGGGAGGGGAGGGGAGGGGGGGATGGAGGAGGGAGGGATGAAGCAGGAGGACGGTGAGGAGGAGGAGGAGGAGGAGGAGGAGGAGGAGGAGGAGGAGGAGGAGGGGGGACAGAAGGGGGGGGAGAAGGGGGAGGTGGGGGGGTGCAAGGCCAGAAAAAAACCAGGACGCATCAACGAGTCTGCAACACATCCGTCCAAAGCTCCCTTCCCAGAAGTCCCTGTGTGTGCTCCATTCCACTACGAGAGTGCCCCCTTGAAAGACGAGTTCGGAATGAGCCTGCCAATCAAGCAAGAACCAAACCTTGAAACAAATCACCCGTTTGAACTGATCAACTCTCCGGCATTGCAACTGAACGTAGAAGATATATCAACGCGCAGCGTCCTACCAAACAACCAAAACAACGTCAAACGAACAAGCAAGCAATCGAACAAGCAAGCAAGCAAGCAAGCAAACAAACAAACAAAAAGCATCGAGGGCCCAATGTCGAAAAGGAACCGCCCTAGGAAGTGAGCAGCATGTTTGGAAACCACGTGCGTTCCATCCGCATACCTGTCGTTGGCATTCGAGGCGAACGTGCGCGAAGAGAAAGCAATCTCTTGAAAACCACGTCAGCTCGATCCGTGAAACTCATAGAAGCGTTGCAGGCGAACGCGGGCAGCGCCGAGGAGAAATTCAGAGGTTGAAAACCACCAGCCCTCCACCCGTGTAACTGTTGGAAACGTCAAGCTTCATAATCGCAAGCTGCGATGAGGTATCAGGCGAAACGCCTAGCCCGCCCAACCGACACGTCTGGGGGCGCAACGAAAAAGAGAGGCGGCAGCGGTCCTTCTCGGCCAAATCGTCGGAGACCGCGTCAACGGAGCGCCGCGCCGTCTTCACAGGGAGCTGGTCCGCGTTGAGGCCGCCGAGACTCGTCCCCAGGACCAGGCAAAGATCGGCCGTGTTCGCGTCATCCTCCATCCAAGCGAACGACCGGTCATGGAGGGAGCCGCTGTACTTCACCACCGGGTTGCTGGGGTCGTACCAACTGCCGTGGATTTCGTTGATGTTCTCCTGGGGGAACCCAGCTTTCTGTGGCAGCCCGTCGTGGTTCTGCTGCACCCACCCGTGCAGGAGGCCCTGTCGCGCCAGGAAGCTCAAGATGTAGTGGGTGGGCGTGGGCTGGGCCTCGCGCGGGTTGCCCACCCAGCCAACCTTGTTCTGCCCAGACAGTGCCGCCTGCCCCACGACCGACGCAGAGATGCCTGCGCCCGTGTAGGCCACCGTCTTCTTCGAGCAGAGGAGCAGCAGGGCCAGCTGGGCAGCCTTGGCGTCTGCCACGTCGGGCAGGTCCTCGAACTCCGTGGCCGTGAGCCACTCGGGGCAAGAATGATCCTGCCGGGGCGGACTAGCGCTCTTCCATAGAACCTTCGGCGGCTTGACCTGGAGAGACTGCAAGGTACCGATGCCGCTAATTACTCCCTGGACCTCTCCTGGGGTGCGTCCTGACCAGGATATTGAGGCGGACCCAGCGGTGACGACGAGGGCCTCCCAGGAAGAACACACTGGGGAAAACGGGCGAAGGGTAGAGGTATAGGGAGGTACCTTTTCCTCCTCCGATGACCGGGCCGTCGTACCCTCGCCCGTGCATGAACAGCTCGTGCGTGTGCGGCAGGAAGGGCGTTGCCCCCAGCCGCCCACAGATCGCCGCCCGCGACGCGCCGCCGCCTGGCAGGAGCCCGCCGTCCGTGGACGCTGGCACGCATGCTGCCTCGTCGGCGCCAGGGGCGACCCCCTCCCTTGCGGCCGGCAGTGCGGGCAGCGGCACTGGCTGGGACGCGGTCGGGCGGGTGGCCATCGGGGGGGTGACCTTCATGGGGGGCGAGACGAAGGGCCCGGAAGGGGTGGGCCCCCGCCGGCTCCCAGAAGGGCCCCAGAGTGCCCCTTTCAGGCCCTTTTCCTCACCGCATACGCACCCTGAGATCCTTCAGTTCAGCGATCTGGCCCTTGAGCGTCTCCATGGCGACTGGGGAGGAGAGGATTACTGCACTGATGGATTTCGGTGTCCTGGCATACCGACATCCATCAGCTCAGTAATCATCGCCTCCCCAATCGCCCTGGAGACGCTCAGGGGCCAGATCGCTGAGCTGAAGAACCCCAGGGGGCGTAATTTGGGGAAGCCAAAAGGCACCGATACCGCTACTCCCCGGGCCTCTCCCGGGGTGCGTTCTGACCAGGATTTCGAGGCGAGTCCAGCGGTGACGACGAGGGCCTCCCAGGAGGCCCAAAAAGGGGAAAACGAGGGAAGGGTAGAGGCATGGGTACCTTGTCCTCCTCTGGCAGTTGAGGTCAACCCCCCATCACCACCCGCCCGACTCGGGCGCGCCCCGGCGGCCCGGGCCGGAGGCGCCGCGGCGGCGCGCGGCGGCCATCGCCCCCCGTCTGCTGGGCAGGCGGCGCGGCTCTCGAGCGCACGCAGCCTGGCCGACCACGCGTGCGGCCTCACAAGCCACACCACTCCGACGCCGCCCTCCCCTGGCCCTCCAGAAGGCCTGGGGTTGGCACAAGCAGCCCGCCACGGAACGCATACGCTCCAGTTTCCGAAGAAGCAAGAGTCACCGGCACGGACACCGTGAGGACAGCCCTGTGGGACTTCTGTGCCACGCGACATCGCCTCGCCTGGGGCGCGGGAAAGAACAGCCAGCTTCGAATTTTCCTGCGCGACGACACAGGAGGGCGTATACACCGCTCCTGGGTTCAGGATGGGCCTGGTCAGGGAGCAATGGACATGTATAGATCTCGTCGCCCGAAAAGAAGCGGTTCGTGCCCAGCGAGCGCACGTCGCGGCCGCGGCACCGACACCGCGGGAGCGGCCGCCGGCAGCGAGGCGAGGCGAGGCGGGGTGGGGCGAGGCGGGGCGGCGCCGCCGGCGGCGGGGCCCTTTCGGGGGCCTGCGCGGGCGGGGCCGGGGCCCTCAATTCATGCTGCCCGTGTTCGGTGGGGGCATCTGTTCTTATCGCCGCTGGTCTGCGAAGCCAGGCTTCCTTGCACACGCGACGACAACGAACGAAAAGGGGAGGAAGAAGAAGAAGACAAAAACAAAAACAAACAACTAATTCACCCCGTGGGGTTAACCTCAGCACCACCAGGTTGGGGGCAGCATGGAGGCTCAGTGGGGGCATTGAACAAAGAACCCTTAGACAAAGAACCCAAGGTCTGGAAGCCGGTGCAACTCCGATTGTGGATCTGGCCAATGGAGAGCACCGCCGCCCTCATCAGACAAGGAAGTCTCCAGGGTGCGAAGCCTCCTGGGCACATTCCTTCATCAACGCCCCCACCATAGCGATTTGAATGAAATCGCAATAGATATCTGCCGTTTGTCGATAGCACGTGCGTGCTCTTGCCACCAATCGCCGTCAGTGCTGTATGTAGCGGAGGTGATGTCGGAAGCTGGATGGAGAGTCGACGTCGAATGTTGGACAACGGAAGTTGGGAACTGGGACTCTGACGGCTGGGACCCGAGGTAGTGGGGTGAAGGTCGAGCGTCACATATGCCGAGTTGGGTCGACGGCTTGAGTTGGGAGCTGGGGCTCGGAAGGGTCACTACAGGTTGGGTGGTCTGGGCTGAAGGTCAGAGCGTGGGGGTCAATAGATGTACACGTAAATTTTGGGGTCGAACGCTGGAGGTGAGAGTTGGGAGACGGGATGTGGAAGCTGAAATTCGATGGATGTCGAGAGGCAGCGCTGGAGGAGTGAGAGAACGAGAACGAGAACGACGAGGAAGAGGAAACAAGAGAGAGAGAGAGAACAAAAAAAACGCAAAGCAACACAACAAACCAAAAAAGGAGGAGCACAACGACGACCACGTCAAGGGCAGGAACGATGAGGGGAGCGAGATGAGGACCGGAGGCAGCTCACCTGGGGCTGGAGCGTCTGGGGCCCGAGGGTCGCACCGCATTGCCAGTGCATCGGCGATGCATCGGCGGCGGCGGGACGTACGAGGTCGGGTTCAGGATCGCGGCGCGTCGCCGATGCATCGGCGATGCAGCGCGACCCTCTGACCTCACCTACGCTGGCCCCACTTTGGCGGCCTGGAAACAGGAGCACGGCGACGACCACGACGACGACCACAACGACCACGACGACGACCACAACGACCACGACGACGACCACAACGACCACGACGACGACCACAACGACCACGACGACGACGACGACGACGACGACGACGACGACGACGACGACGACGACGACGACTAAGAGAGGGACAAGAGGTCCTCTTGCCTCCTTCTTCGTCCTCGTCCTCGTCCTCCTCGTCGTGTTCGTTGCCGCCCTTCACCTTGTCGTCTTCGTCCGGCCCTCGTCGCGGTAAGCATCGCCGTGGGTTAGCACGGAGGGAACGAGTCCTGAGGAAAACAGGTCCTAGCACCTTGGGACCTTCCCTCAGGACCAGTTCTTCGTCCTGGGTCGTTTTCCGACAGTCCCAGGGCCCGTGGAGGGCTCCGGGAAGGCAAAAGCGGCGAAAAACCTCAGGACCCGTTTCCTTCAGGACCCGTTTCAATCATGGCGAGTGGTCGTTCTCGCCCCGCGCGGGAGGAGGAGGGAGGAGGAGGAGGAGGAAGAGGAGGAGGAGGAGGAGGAGGAGGAATTGTTGGAGGAGTTGGAGGAGGAGGAGGAGAAGGAGGAGGAGGAGGAGGAG